TTAAATCGCCTCTTAAAAACAGATTCTACATTTCTTATAAAACAAGTTAGCAGAACATGTTTATAGTTTGTTTTTTTAATACATTTTAAAATTGTTTTCATGAGCTGAGTGTCATGTGTAAAATTGAGTGAACTAGATTTTGTCCATGTCACCACAAGACATTCGTGACCTGTCATCTCACTGAAAGAATCAGACTCACACATTACCTCAAACATTTAAATCTTTTCTACAGCTGCAACAAAATCATCCACATTTTCTGCACCAGCTATAGTAAGTGCAGTATAATGTGTAGCTTACTTTTAGTATAGCATAGATAGTAAATAATATAATTTTAACAAAGCAAATAAAACTTAAACTCCTTAGATTACAGTAGAATATAATGAATGTGAAGTATAAGAAAAGAAGCCAATTCATCCTGATTTTTATCCAATCCACCATTTTATTTCATTTATTCCCAATATCAACTGATTACATTCATAACTTTGAAACGATCTACCCCAGACCAACACAAATACATAGTATCAGTAGTTTAAACCAAAAAGAAAGAAAAGAAACCATTTAAATTAACCTCTTACATGGATCAACCTGTGATGCAAATGAAACACAAAGAGCAGTATCTGAAATACGTCTGTAGATTTCTACCCAAATATGGCCACAAGTATTGCTGCACCTTTTTTTTTCTTCTTCTCCCCATCATATTTATGGAATCAAAAGTCAAGGCAATAACGACGACAAACATGTATGCAAATGAACACATAAAACCAAATGTCAACACAACCATATAGTCCCAGGTCAACACTGATAAAACCCACTTGTATAAAACCGTTTTAGTATGAAACATTCACATCCACCAGGATCTATTTTACATACACCTAGGTCACATACTGTAGGTTGGTAAGAACCCGTTTAGTAAAGCAAAACGTACCAAGGTCTCCGTTAAAGTAACAGCGCACCATATATCCCTGGATTTGAACGGCTACATTTTCTTTGCTCAGCGTTTACTTGTAAGGTCTTTAGAGGAGGTCTCCGATGAAGCTACATTCAGCAAGGAGGAGTGCTACAGTATCTGTGAATAACACAACTGGGATGTGACCTGCTTCAAGTGATGGAACAGAGGAGATAATACACTGACATGTTTGATAGTTTGCAAGACAACACGTTTTACCAGGACATTTCAAACATGTGTGGCAGGGCTGTACAAACACTGAGACTGAGTTAGTAGGAATTCATAGCTTGATTTACATCGTTGTCGTATGTTACTGTACATGTTTGCTTTGGTTGGCTGGTTAGTGTGACGCTCAGTGAAGTGAGAGACAGCGTGTTGTGTTGTTACCTCCGCCAAGGACATTATGTTTGTTTGTGAGCAAGATTACACAAAAACTACAGGACGGAACAATACGAATGTTGGTGGAAGGATGTGGTATGAGTCAGGAAAGAACCCATTTCATTTTGGTGTGGATCCAGATCCAGAATTCTCAGATAATAATTCATGGATATTGATGAAAATAATCTGGCATGTTTATGGGACTAAGGCCGATCAAAATATAAATCTGGATCTGGTCAATTTAAATGAGACTGTTGGGCCTTGGTGGAGGTATGCGCTCTAGTTAGACCTGCTGTTTGTGGATGTTACAACCATACAATCAGTAATGTGTGTGATGTCACAGCTGAAAAGTACAGTAACGACAAAAGTATGGCTCTTAGTTACTGATCAGACTGGTTTTACATCAAGTCAAACAAAAATGCATGTTACGTTCTCTATGTTCCTCATTCTTGTCCGATATAATCAATTTGTTTTTACCAGGGGTGATCTGCTATCGTCAAAACATCTGAAAGAAGTTTGCTACTCCTGAAAATATAATAAAAGCTGAATATGGCAACATTAACATTGGTTAACACAGAGTAATCTGTGAAAAATACATTTCTTCTGCCACAAATGAATCAATGATTAAGATAGATATCATTTTGATTAAAAACGTGGCACACAGTCTGCATTGCAGCTATTTAGTTAAAAAAAATAAAGTTATAAGAAAAAAAGGACCCATATCTCCTTTTCCTCTGCAGTAACATGCTGAAACAAGAAAAGGCCTGTATTTTGACATTCTGCTTCTGTGAATCTTCCAAGAAAGAAGTAGCACTTAAATCTTTGATCCAGCAAACTGTACATACATTATAATACAAAGAGGTGATTAAAAAGATCTCCTCTGTCCCCATGCGTTGGTCAGTTTCAGCACTTATCCAGTGGAAGCACTGAAACTGCTAGACATCTCAAACGGTTTCAAAAGACCAATACCAACAAAAAAAGGCCTCTGGGGTGTACGATCACATGCCTACAGCTCTCTATGTACAGTCTGACACTACAGTCCAGCCCCGGTTCAGGAGAGACAAAGCAGGATGTGCCGCTTGTCTGGAACAGAGCCCCCTGCAGGACAGCAGGAAATAATAATTACACCACATCAAAGGAAGATTTCTGTAATGATATTCTGAATTACGATATTTAATCATTATACTTGTGTAAAATATGTTTCCTTTGGCTTTGCTTATGAGGTTTCAGAGCCTTGTTTGGCTTTGATTTCTTTCATTAAAACTACAGTATTTTAGTCGTTTCAGATGATATGTCTTAGATGTCTTTATGTGCTCAAAATAAACTGCACAAGCTGAGAACAATCTTTCCCCTGTAAAATACATCTGAGTCAGAGCAATGCACTATTTCTGTAGCAAGAAGCGCTGATGTTATTGTCGTGATTCGTCCCTTCTTTAGGGGGCGCTGTTCCAGTTTTTACTGTTGATGTCCACAACAAAACAAATGTCCCAAACTAAGATTGTTTCACACTCAAACGCACAAAAAAAACAAGATGTCTCAAAATGATACATAGAAAACACCTGCTTTGCTGAAAAGGCTAATTGTATTTGAAGAGAACCGATGAAGGGTGAAAGCCAGTCTGAAAATATAAGGCCAGCTAAATTGCATAGAACTTCAGTAGTGCACTGATGCATCAAAAGGCTGTGCTCCGTTCCTCTGTCAACTTTGGCAACCCTGCAGAATTCCCCCAGAAACCAACAGAACTCCAACACCATTTGTCTCCGCTCGTTGTTTTGACTCCTTGGCAGGAGACACTCTGGATCGCAAATCACACGACCGGGACTTAAATAATACAAAAACAAAACAGTTTTCCAATCAAGGGGAAGTGCTCTAAAATCATAAAATTGATCAAAAGATGAATGCATTTTTTTTGGTGTGTGTGTGAATATATTTATTGTTCACCGAACAAGAAGCACAATATGTACTATTTTCAATTCCTTTCGAAAAAAAGGACTTTAATTGGGTAAGAATTTGTAGAAAATTTCTCAGCCAGTTTAAAACGTTTGAGAATATTTTTTTCTCTCCGTCAAAAATGATGTGAAGCTCTGGACAAGAATCCAGTGAGGCAGCAGTGAGGAAGAAAACACAGCTCGGACTCTATACGCACCCTTTTTCTCTTTGTAAAGCAAAGACAGCCCCTCCCCCCAACCACGCTCTAAACAACAGAAATAGTATAAAAGCACCAGTTCTGGGCCTCAGTGAACATGAACTATAACAGGTCAAACAGGCCCAGATTTAAGTTGGTCCACCTCGAGCAGGGTGGAGCTCCATACACCTTTAACCCCTGTGATAACGAACGGTGGTCAGGAGGAGACGGGACAACTAACGGAGACTTCAGCCTCTGCGTCCTTGTCCAAGATCTCGTCCTGGATCTCATCTGTGTTCCCTGAGTCGCTGCTGGCCACAGAGCTGATAGAGGGAGAGTTCCTGCCACCTTTAATCATCCGACGACACGTCTCCATCTGCACGTCCAGGCCTCGCTTCATGCTGCACATCTCCATGTACTCGTGCAGATGTCGGTTCATGTCACTCTTCGCTGTGGCCAGTTCCATCTGAAGAAGACAACAGATCAAACAGATTGAAGGGTAACTGCTGCTTTACTTTATGGATTTTGTATTTTTCAGCTAAAAAACTGTTAATTGCTCGAGTTAATAGCTGCTCGTTCTATTTCAATTTTAACAAAAATAGAGTTCATTTTGTTTTTAATGAACTTTCATCTGGCTGTGTAATAGTAAGAAAATATTTACATTTTGGACAATTTCAATTACTTAAACAGATTTCAAGGTAAAATATTCTTGGATTTCTGCATGTGCAAGAAAAATCTGAATAGTAAATTAACCACAATAATTTCCAAGTATTAGTTATAGTAGATACTTTCTTTATCATCAGTAAAATTAACTCTATGAGTGGAATAATAGTAATGTGTTATGATTTTAAATGTCTGCTGCCCAAATTAGGGATTAAAAGCCATTTGTAATTAACGAAAACTAAAGGACAAAATAAATATTCTGTATGTAGGGTTTTGTTTTACATCTTATTTGACACACACACACACAAACAACACACACAGACACACACAGGTTGTGTACCTCGATCTGGCCGATGGTCTCCTGGTACTCCTGCTCTCTGGTCTTAAATAGTGACTCTGTTTCATCAATGAGGCTGCCAAGGCTTCCATCCTGGGAGTCCTTAGAGTGCACAGACAGAGCCTCATTCATCATGCATTAGTAGACGTCTTACACAGCAACCCCAGCAATGATCTACATTCTGACTTGCATGAAAACCCTCTACGCTGTGTGAAGGAGCCAAAGTGCAAACAAGGACTCACGGGATCAGCTGCTTCGCCGTTGCCGTTGCCGTTGGTTGTGCAGTTTGTTGCAGTGATGGCGCACGGCACGTTGTAGTTGGTGAAGTCCTCCCACAGCAGCAGAGTCTGCTCGTTCTCCTCCCACGTCAGGCTGTCGCAGTCGTCGTCGATTTCAAACGTCTCGCGCCTGGCAACAAAGGAGTTATCTGAACAATGTCTGTGCAGGATAAGGACAGAGAAACAGAAAAAGGAGGAGGAGAGAGGGAGGAGAGCAAGGGAGAAGTGTAATGGCCACCAGATACAGTGAAGGTCACGTGCAAAGAGGAAGACATGCTTTTAAAGAGGATGAGAAGATGGAAAGGAAACAATAAGGACAACTGAAAACATACTCCAGAAAATTTTAGGATTAGTAATAATTGATGAAAGTGGAAAAAATATTATAACACAAACTCTATTGAAGAAGAAGAAAGCGGAATAGCAGAGATTATCACAACATGTATAGATGCAGAGATTTGCTAAATGAGCGTTCTGTATGTGATACAATACTCCTTAAAAACACTAGAGGGAGATGAAGGAATAATGGCAACAATTTCAACATTAGACCTGCAGGAAACTGAAACATATTCAGTGTCATCCACAGCAAACAGCAGCCAGTGCTTCTGATGTATGTTTACAGGCACTGTTTGTGTGTTTGTGTGTTTGTGTGTTACTTACAGCTGGTTGAGCATGCGTTTCATTTCGTCCGTGATGTTGAGCGACTCAGCAACCTCCTCCTCCTCTGAAATGCTGGGCTCTGCATCCATCTCTGAACTCTCTTCATCGGAAACCGCTTTACGCTCTTTCTTCCTGCAGCAGGCCATGGCGCCCTGCAACACACACGCACGCCCACACGCACTTTAGCTTACGGATCCAAAATGAACCCAGAGGCAAAATGTAAAGAAGACAACTAGTGTTTGATGTATTTTTCACTGAATCCTCGGTCATGACAACTGCTCTCATCAGAAGCACAGACGCTTATATGGTATTTCTATAAATGCTGTACATGGAGCATTTTCTTATATGTGTTTCTTCATCTGCAAACTGAACAACTCTTATGTGTATTCGATGTCCGACTAAAGCTAATTAAGACATAACCAAGTGGATTAGACGGGTTCAAGATGCAACAAACAGCAGCACACATAAATCAGACTGTTTCATCTGCGATATTCTTATTAAAGGCAGAGACACATTACAAAATATGACATTAAAGAAGCCTCCAGCTTGATTCACAGCAGATTTATACTTTATACTTAACACTGGGCTTTTAGCCAGTAATGTAGGCGCAATGTGATAACCTTGTGTGCAGCCAAGATAACACATCAGCATTTCACTTTTATGTTTGTGTGTGTGTGTGTGTGTGTGTGTATGTGCTTGCATATATGAGTCACTACTGTCTCTGTATGTGTTTATGAGTTTATTCGTGGACATGCACACATCCATTCCTGCTCTGGTTTCATTTACAGAGCACTGACTGTTTTCTGTTTTTCTTCGATTACTTTCAGCTCCTCTGACAGACAGACGCACTGCTGATGGACGGACTGACACACACCTTCTCTGGGAGCGACCTGGCCGGACTGACGCTGAACATCTTCGACATGTCCTCCGAGTTGCGTTGCTGCGCCACATCGCACAGTTTGGCTGTGATGTCGATCCGCCTGCAGATGTCCATGTCCACCCTCCTGGCTTTCTCCTGGATCTTGGTGTCCAGGTCAGACATTTGCTATAAATTAGATGAATGGAGATTTTACAGAAACATATGCAAACCAAGCACCTTCTCACACTGTATAAATTATAGTATGTGAACTTGATTCATTGTGGCAGCTGAAATGTTTAGTTTGATCTATGGTCATATTGCCTCTCTCGGTTAGAATGGACTGATTGTCCAGTATACTTCAGTTTTCTCGAAGGGATTTTTGCAGGTTAAATAAAAATTTTATTAAAAGGTTTACAGTGCTCGAACTTGAAGAATGGCACTCAGCAGAGCACATACCTCCGCTAATAGTTCCCTTAAATTCAATCACACTGCACCAAATTTCTTACACACGAAGATATCAGTACCCTTAGTGTGCCAGATTTTTATCATCAAGATCCATAAATTATTCCTTGAGGAAAAGGTGGAAATGTTAAAAAACAATGTTAAAGAAAGTAGAAAAAACGATTCCTGGATCCGTCCTTGGATCTGCACCAGTATAGGTTCTTCCTTGACCTGTACCACATCCTTCTACTTAGTTTGTTGTTGTTTTTGTGTAATCTTACCAACACACAAATAAACATAAAAACCCACCAGCCAACAAAAGGACAGGAGTGAAAACACAACCTCCGGAGGTAAATATTCTGATAAGTTTTGTTGGGGCAGAGATGGATGGAAAAAATGTCTCATGTACATTATTTCCTCTTGTGAAAGTTTTCAAATATAAGACTAAAATGTAAGAAGAGGGTCAACACAGACACAGACATATCCACAGGCACAGGATGTCAAACTACCACTACTACTCCACTTTAAATGTATCCACACAACCTCAGAGCTCCACAACAGAGGCGTCACTTACCTGCTTCTGGAATCACACATTGGGGGATGAAGTAAAACACAGAAAATAACATGAACAATTCTACAAGGTGCAGATGCCACAGTGGAGATAAGCAGGATAAACAACAGAGCTTTCCAAAAACAAATACTTCAACTGACTACATCTATCAGTGAGCGAGCACAGGCTGTGACTGGGCCCAGTGCAGTAATATCCAGCTGTATATCACACCAGAGCAGAGCTGCCAGGGAACAATACAGAGCTGGACAGAACAGGATGTGCTCTTGATCTACAGCGGCCATTTGAGCTATTTTCAATGAATGCTTTTCTTTGGGGGGGGGTTAATATATTTTTCCTGAAGGACACAAAGGAAGGGTGTGTTCAGTGTTAATCCTCAGTGAAAAGCAACCTCCATTAGAATAAAGCTCAGGAATGTGTCGGAGCAGTTGTGAATTCTGCTGCTGGAACACATATTAATCATGATGTGTTTAAGTGTGGGAGTGAACCCAGCAGCTTTTCTTTAAGATGTGAAATCTTTGTCAGACTTGAGGACGACGTCACCCTCTCGCTCAACAAACACTTACATCACTCATCAGGCTCTTGAAGACCACGAGCTCTGCCTTCAGTCTGTCCACCTTCTCGCTCAGCTCGTCCTGGACCTCAGTCGACTCCCGGGCACTCTGAGTTCAAATGTCACAGCGGAAGAGTTCAAATACAGTAAATCAACATTCAAATTGGGTTTGTGAAATGTGTGTTTGACTGCATGAACTCTGTTTACCAACGTTATTGGTTTGTATTTTTTCAGTAAATGTTACAAAACTGCTCTGAATCTTTAAATTGTAAATTTTTAACAGACATTCTGGTGACTTTTACCATTGGCTTTGTTTAAGCATTATGCAATTAGAGAATAAGGCTAAAGTAAAATGAGTCATTTAAACAAACAACTGATAAAATCTATTCAAAAGCACAAAAGTTCATTGATCATAGTTGAGGATGTGGCTACAGGTTGCATTCTGATGAGGCCCATACATGAAAATAAAGCTTTCACATGTTTCCACTGTTTTATGATTCTTTTAGTTACTGTTTGGCTCAGTACCCATCAGATCAGTATTTACTTTCCTCTATATATTTACCTGATGCAAATAAGGGGATTGGAACACAGCCACTTAATGTATGTTGATGTACAAGTATGGATTTGGTGGATTATTTCCAAAAGGCTGAAACTTAAGTGAATTTTTTGGCATGTTCACATTCCTACCAAGAGTTAGATGAGAGGATTGAAACCACTCATATGTTGAATATAAAACTATTGCCAGCAGCTGGATAACTGAGCATAAAGACTAGAAACGGGGAAATGGCTAAAAAAGCTCTGTCAAGATGTAAAGAAAATCCCCCCAACACGACCCCTTCAGCTCAAACACATCCGCTCTGGCACGTGCACACATAGATAAAGGAAAGGCTTTAATCAGAGTTTGTCCTTTTAACTCTTAGGTGCAGCACACAAGTCTAAAGTGAATGAATGTGAAAAGTGTGGAGACGTCTGTCATAGACTTACTGTTGTAGTCTGATTTATGAATTGAAAACCTTATTTCGTAAATTACAGCACACTTGTAATAACAGTAACACTCTATAATCCTTTTTAAAGCAATTTCTTTTTAAATAAAATATTTGACTGATTTTATGAACTTATATTAACTGCTGAAAAAGTAGCCATGTGCAGCAAAATAGGAAATTGTGGATGTGATACATTGAAATGCATCGAGAAGCATTGTTGTGCATTCGAATCGTTGACTGCGGAATCATAATTGAATCGTGAGGCTAGTGAAGGTGCACTAGTGAGCACGCAGTCATCACAGTCGTGTCAGGCAGCACCTCCCACCTCCTGTTCCAGTTGTGGTGGTTTTTCTTTGCTTGTGTGGAGCTGAGTGGTGATGAGCTAAACTATAGTGCCTCGCGTTTAAGGCTAATTAGCCTAAAGACAAAAACAAATATAGTTCACTTGTGTCTTGCTAGCAAACAGACAGAGGGTGAAACAAACACCGCCTAAATGTGTAGAGCTGAGCAGAAAGCTGTTAACTTTTGGTGGAGATCCGGATCAGGGGGGTTGATCCAGGAATGTTTTGGTATTGGGCACTTCTCCACATTTAGTTTGATTTATCATAGAATGGGTGTGAATCTTGATGAAATATTTATGAGTGTGTGCAATTTTTTGCTGATCCAAATAAAATACTGGATCATAGGCTTTTTTCAGCAGCTGTATGGTAACAAATAGAGTTAGAAACCTGCAACTAGCACAAATATGTATGAGAAACGTACATCAAAATAAATACATAAATAATGTGGCCTCAGCTACAAGGCTTGATGGGCCTTGGTTGAGTTAACATGCTAATCTCATTTGTCTAACGTGCAAACATTAAGTGTAAAAACGTCAAGTTACTGTAAGTTCACTGCCTGGTCTCACTTTCGATCTTATAAACATTAACCTAAATAGTTGAGCCTTACTTGTTTTTAACTTTTAAGATAATTATTTGTTTAGCAGCTATTCCCATAATTCCCCCCTCAGTGGAAGGTTATTCTAGTGAGCTATTTAAAATGAGCTCTAATCTAAAGACTGTTTTACAAACGAACACTAAAGGAAGATAAACCCTGTTGACTTGAATCTGTCACAGGGAGAGCCTGTTTCTGCTTCTATAGTACGTCGCTGCACAGAGACAGCCCCCCACTGGCTCCGGCCCATGACAATAACTGGCTGTTTGCATTGAATTTACAATGTGTGAGCAGATCCCCCCCCCCCCATACACATGACATCTGCCTGTGTGCTCGGAAAGGTTAAAGCCCCCGGGGGGGATGCCACTCCCTCACTCTATCTGGTATTTTGCTGACCCAGAACCCGACAAACACGCGTGCTGTCACCGATCGATCTGTGCAAAAGCAGAAACAGGGAGGGACTCCTCACGCCAGCTGCTGGGATGGCGTTGGTGTTGTAGCCCCGTGGTGTGACACTTGAAATCGATTTTTGCTTTACATCTATTTCTGCTCGCCTGCTCTGGACAGAAACATGATGGGAGGCTGCAGGTGATAATTAAATGTTTATATCTAGGTCAGCTGACTCCTCCTGATGGGTTTGTAATGTGGTTTTTCGAAACAGACAAAAATCCTCCTGGTGCATTAGCCTCCTGTTGTCCTGCTCAGCTGATTGACGCTGCATAAACACAACAAGGCGCTGAGCTATATTTAAATGCACCTGCTGTGGTGGCTGTTTTAGACATGAACAAAGTCTTTCCCTCAGATCTTGTGTACTCTGTGTGTGTGTGGTAAATGACCTTTAGCATGACTTTAAATAGACTGCGTGACTCGGTTGCAGGTTTATATTTTACTGTTTTTGTTTCCCAACCTGCTGCAGGGATTCCACCGTAGACTCCAGCTGCTCCCGTTTGGACACCTCCTCCTCCCATCTGCAACACACAACACAGAGGTTGGTCAGTTACTGCTGGTCCTGGTCCCGTGGGGGCTGCCATACAGGGTAATGGTACTTTAGTGGGAATAATACTCCGGTCTCTGATTACAAAATGCCCTTGGCAGTGTGGGATCACACCCACTTCCTCCTTCTATTTTCAACCTTTTGTCAGTTTTCCTCTTTTGTGCACTAATCTTTGCAACCCCACTGCCTCAATACAAACAATATGGGAGAACAGAGTCCCATCCTTCTTTAAGTACAGTAAACATTGCTCATGAATAGTTTCTGGACCTGTGAATGACTGCAGAGGGACATTTGAGCTTCACCACACCCTAACGGGTGGAGTGTCTCTCTGCTGCAGACTGGATTCCTTCATGCTCACGGCTTCATTCCTCATGAAGTCACAGGAGAGAGAGTCTATGATCTCACTGCCACCAGCTCAAAGTGAACAGAAATCTTTGCTCGTGTTTTTGACAGAGATAAATTGTACAGAGAGTTTGAACATATTGGAGCAAACACAATCATAGCAATTCTAATATTTTCTGAAGTTGAGTTGGGCTGAATTATTCATCACTTCATAGTCTTCAGCAGTATAGGCCATAAACCCTGCCTCCTCCATGTTAGTGGATGGGACATGGACCAAAACCAAAAGTCAAGGTAGACATAAAGTAAACTACTGGACAAACTCTGACTCCAAATGATGTCAACAGCGAAAAGGAAAGCTTTATTCTGAGGAAGAAGTGGAGACGTGTCGTTAACCTTTGTAAACAGGCTATCAATCAGTACAGCTGAGTCGGATGGGAAGGGCCTTATTTTAATTTGAAAGAAAAATCCTGATGTCGACATTTACGTGATGAGATATTTCAGTTAAGTGGCAGACCAAAAAAAAACTGACAGATATTGCCTTTACTAATGCCGCGGTGCTAACATGGCTAAAAATAAAACGCCGGATGCCACCGATGACTGCAAGCTGCACTATGATGAACTATGATTAGCAACGCAGATCTCCTCTCCTCTCGTGATGGGCCATATCGCAGCTCTGCACCATGGAGGCTACGTATAAACAGATTTAGAATCGTCCCTAATTGCCTCTTTGTGGGTATCACGCAGCATCAGTCAGTTCGACATGCTCTTTATACGCACTCATCTGGTTCCCTGAGAGACGAGATCGCAGCCGTGCTGAGTCACTGATGCTTCCCAAAAGACAAGATGGGGTTCAGAATGAAGAGGGAACTCATTCAGTGATGTGAAGTAACCACAGAGTATCAGACACATTGAAAATGAGCCACTGAGGGACAGTGACTGTACCAAAACAGGGAAGGGGGGTTCTGTTAGACAAACAGTAACTATGATACAGGTATGTGTGTTTGTGTTTGTTTGCCTGTCTGTGCTTACGTGCTGCGTGTGTGAGATATTAGGTTGCCGGTGGGAAAATGTATATATACTGGTGTAAGTTGCACATGCCCGACAGTGGGCCCATATTGCCTGTAAGGGAAAAAGCTGACATCCGATAACCACGACCGACTGGGCCTTAGCTCACCCATACAGCTTTGACCGTGAAGAAACCATAGACTGTATATAAAGAAACACAAACAGCGCCACAAGTCACTTTGGTATCACAACATGCGTCACTGGAAATTCACTTTCACAACAAAACTCAGCTTGTTTCCATTCAGGACCCACTGAATGTACACTGTCTAATTAGAGAGAAGTATTCCTTGGAGGGGCGTGCCAGCTTCGCCCTGTGATTGAAGCCTTGTTCTAAAAACGCTGGCACTGCTGCTTCACGGTGTCCACAACACTCCGCCTGTCTGCCGCAGGAACTCGGCTGAGGTAATCCCAGTTCACAACTTCATCACATCCTCTGCAGACACAAATTGGTTTGTCACAGCATCTGCATCGCCGCTGTTGTCACTTCCTGAACAACTTTTCCTTTAACGAGCGATAACAGGGACGACGTGATTAAATCAACCTGCTGATGGAGGGGAAGCCTCTCTCTGTCTGTATTTATGTGATCTATCAAAGGTAATGGAGTCGTTGAAGTCTGCTTCCACGTTATTTGGAGCAGTTACAACTCAGCCACCCTTAAAAGGCAAATGGAAAATCATTGACTTGTTTTCAAGCATGCAGATTAAAATGGCTAATCCAAACAAAGACGACACCGCGGCCGCAGCGGAGGTATTCAATCTAGCCTCTGTGGTTCTGGTTTTGCTGAAACTTTAGCCTGACTCAGTCAAACGAACTCACCCGGAGTCTCCTTACAAGGACAGCGACGGCAGGAGGGTTGGAGCCTGTGTCAACTCACAGACGTTTGTTTACTGCCAGACTCATCCTCCTCATTCCTGCTCTGATTAATCAGAAACTCTGGTTTATCACGTTAACTTACAGTGCACACTGCCGAATGCAGAAATGAATTAAGTGATTTCTTTTTCATTATTGGGAGACGAAAACCAAAATTAAATCATGATGGAAGTCGAGTTCAGTCTGTTTCATTGAGAAAATCAAAAGCCTTTTAAAGAATTTAAAGAATGAATCATCAAAGAACTATTGCACTGTATCAATCTAATAATGAACATCAGGAAATAGTTTTCTTCAGTCAGCGAAACATCTTTATCTGCAGAAGCACTGAATAAAATAAATGTTGTTTGTCCGAAAAAGATCCCAACTATGTGTTTTGCGATGCGTGAAGTTGACGGTAACTCTGAGGGAAGAACCAAAAGTGTGTAACATCAAAGAGACAGTTTCCCATACAATTTCTCTCCAATGAACAATAACATTCCTGCAGCACTTGCCAGCTAACACTCCCTGCCTTGTGCGGTATGCCTTGGAGTTACCCTTGTTTGCGAGCTGCCTCAGTGTTTTCCCACCGCTGCAGAGTAATGTGAACAAAGAATGCACGCATCAAAACCTGACCCACTCGTGTTCTCGTGCTAGTTTTTTTTTTCCTTTAATGATTTATACCTTAAATTGATTCAAGTCTGCCAGAATCAAACTGATGACAGATAATGTCTTGGAGGCAACAAAGACGTGTTTTAATAATGTTTCAATAATTAAAATGTTTATTTGCTTTCCGATTCCAAAGATCTTACACGAACAGGCTGCAAATATCTAAAAAAACTTTGAGGTGTGGTTGTGGAGGATTCCATAAATCCTCTGTTGCTCATAATCCAGTCAGTCAGACAACACCCTCTTCAAACTGTATGATGCTCTGGAAAGTGTCAGGGAGTAGAATTCCTCAGTGACCAGACATCTAAATTACAAGCTTAAAAACTGATCCTATGTATTAGAGTAGATTAGCTCTTGAATACATGCACTTCAAGATCCTATTATACACCCTTTAATTCATTTATTTATTTGATATTGCCCTCAAGTTCAGGATCTTCAAGCTTAGGTTTTTATTGGGCTGAAATGCAGCAGTGACCCTTATTACCTCCACCCAGGAAGTTATGTTTTCACCCTTGTCCATTTGTTTTTCACGCAAAAACCACTGGACAGATAACTGGTGCTGATCTGCATCAGGGGCAGATTTAGTCATTTTATTTTCACTTTCCTTAACTTTCACTTTCTCTAACACTTTCATTGATTTCTAAGAGAATAATTGATGAATTCTTGATGAAAAAAATCAGGCATGTTTAGGGGACTGATATTTATGAGTGTGTGCTATTTGGCCAATGTCATTTGAAATGTGGTTTCATAAGGGGACTGTTATGGGCCTTGGCAGAGGTTTGAGCTCTACTGAGTGACATTCTAGTGTACCTGGTGTTTTTCTACCATTCAGTGTAGATAAAAGTTTCATAAAAATATGTTCAACCATTTTTTTTTTATTTTGTCAAAATGCCATTTTATAGCCATTTCTTTTTTGGTCATGTTTTTTTTAAATATTGGGTTATTTCAAAGCAATATAGCAAAATATGTTTTGAGAGATATTTTATCTTATATAATGAAATAGTCAGAAATGTGTATGAGTATAAATGATGTGTTATTAAAGACCTGGGGTGTGTAGAAATGTTTGGCAAAATATCAAAAGAGTCAGGAAATCTTTGCATAGTAATTGAAAACAAATTATACCGATATTATCAAATCACATCAATAATTATAACTCACTCTAATTACTGGCAAACCTTCCTCCACTGGATGTTTTAAACAACAATCACTGAATTGTCACTAAGACACAAACTGTCACATCTTTCCTGAAACAAATCTCTGCAGATTTGACTGAGTCTAAAAGCTTAAAAGATTTTAATAGCAACATTATAATCATTTCTCATGAGAGCAGGCAAAACTAAAACAGGAAGTGTTACTTGATAACCGATTAGAGGATCAATACATCTGGCTACATGCAGGACAAACACTCCAGTTCAGCTCGGCTGCTCATATGAAGTGAAGACATTGACAGTCGTGATAAATCACTATAAGCGTCTGTATAATGCATCTCTATAGGCGTCTGTATAATGTCTTCACCATGACACCAACTTTCCCCATCGTCTACATGCAATAAAAAGGTGCACATGTGGGTCCCATGATGAACAACTCAGATTCTTCCAGTGGTCTTGGCTGGATAAGAGGAACGTGATGAGGGGGAGCGTCTGTTGCACTGGGATGTGAAATGGTGAGTAATGTGATGCTTTGCTGGGAGGAGAGGAAAAAAAAAAAAAAAAGCTTGTGTGTGTGACTGTAGTAGGTCATTGATTGAATGTCATGATGCTGTGTAATCTATAGCCTCCCCAGACTCCACAGTGAGACATGTGCAGCCTGCTAATAACCCAGGGAAATCAGCCCCGGCAGCGTCTGGCTGCTCGAGGGTCTCTGCTGACAAGACAACAGGCCAAGGTCAAAGCACATGTCATTTCTCTGCCATCTTCTCAAACCATCTTCTGTCCATGAGTCTTCTTTCAGATGAATTCTAGATTCGCTCCATGCTGTGTGCAGAGAGCGTGGTCGGTCTTAAGTGTAGACCACCCGACCCAGACAGGACACAGACACCGCTATGGGCCGAGC